TATTCAGGATAAAACATTGTGAGTATTTTTGTCATTATCATTACTTGAGTCCTTTTCTTGCTTTTGTTTGGATGACTCCATTATTGCTTTGCACTTCTCTCCTAGGTTGTTTAGGAAGGCACAACGTATTTGAGAAGCAACAAAGTTTAAAAACCTATGTATATTTTCTGACATGACAAATTTTTCTTATCATTGCAGTGAAGTGTTAATTATACGAGATATTTCATAACATTGATTGTTTCATTTGAATTAAATATAAAGGTCAGCTGGTTGTTATGAATTGAAACACAGTAACTAAACATTGAAGTATGTTACCACTATTCTATTCATGTCAAAGACTATGGGAGTTCAGGTGAATTTGAGTTTCCAAAATAAAATGAGTGATTTTATTTAGAGCAACTATCAGTAGGTATTCTAAAGAAAAAACAAAACATTTAATAACCCTATTGTAAATCTGTCAACAAGTTTAGTGGAGTAGATACCTAAGGCTGAACCAAATAGCAAAATTATACTATATGAAGATAAAAATGTGTCAGGGTAACATAAATTAGAATTACTTATTATTATTTTAAAAACAAAAATGCACAAAACTATGTACACATCTGCAGAATTCAAATAGCTTGGTAAAAACTGGTCTATAATCTTCAAAGAAGTTCTGGTGGTGTTTAAGAGCTGGGCTGATAACCAAAAGTTCCATGGTTCCAACCCACCAGTAGTTCTGCTTCCCTAAAGACTACAGCCTTAGAAACCTGGTAGATCATTCTACTCTGTTCTATAGTGTCTGTATGAGTTGAAATTGACTCAACAGAAATGGGTTGACACTGGTTTAGTTGCTGAGGTATGTTAGGCTCTCAGTCATTACTTCTCACAGAAACATCAAATGAATACATACACAAATGGATAATTGCATGAATACTTCCATTAAATCACCTATCAAGGTATTCTTTTTGTTCTACAAACCTCAAAAATCTATCTTTGATGTTGCTAAACAATAGATTGTGCACTACTTACTTATTTTCTCTTTAAGAAAATGCAATCTAACCAACGATTCAGTGGGAAATATTGATGTTGGCAGCCAGCCCATGCTACTTTCAATATTCTCCAACATCATAATTCAAATACATCAATTCTTCTGCAGTCTTCCTTATCCCCAGTCCAACTTTAGCATTGCATATGAGGTTATTGAAAATACCATGGCTTGGGTCAGGCACACCTTAGTCTTCAGGTTGTTATCTTTGCTCTTCAACACTTTAAGAACTTCTTGTGTGACAGATTTGTCTAATGCAATATGTTGTTTGATTACTTGACTGCTGCTTCTATGAGTTTTGATTGTTGATCCAAGAAAAATAAAGTCATTGACAATTTTAATCTTTTCTCATTTTATAAGAATGTTGTGTATTGGCCCAGTGGTGAGGATTTTTGTTTTCTTTATATTGAGATGAAATCCATACAAAAGGCTGTGATCTTTGATCTTCATCAGTAAGTATTTTGCTGTTGTTGTTGTTATGTGCCATGGAGTCAGAGCTGATATATTAAGACAGTCAGTAAGTATTTAAGTGTCTGTAAAATTTGAAGTTTTACATACAATAAACCTCTAAGACATGCATGATTACCATAATTTATTATTAAGACAATTGAAGATAATTAAATGGTGGAGGCAAGAGACAAACCAGATTTTACAATACAAAAGTTTTGTTTTAGCAAGTATGTTACTATAGCAGTAGAGAGTCAAGTTTAAAGAGCTTGTTGAATAATTATAAAATTAGAATGAGAAATGTATGTTTAAAATGTATGATGATATTCATCTGTGCAAACTGAAAGCTTTCATTTAATTTATTACAGCTTTAAAATTTTGTGGTAATGCTATTGCAGAGATCACAACTTCATTTTCAGAAGCCCTCAAATATTTAATATTAAAAAATAAAAGAAAGGTAGTCTTAATATTTATGAAGACTCTGTAAGGTAAGCACTGTGTTGTGTGTGTTAAGTGCCGTCGAGTCGGTTCCGACCCATAGCGACCCTGTATAGGGTTTCCGAGGGTGAGCACTAGTCTGTGAATAATAAGATCAGCAGTTCAAGCCCACCAGCTGCTTCTTGGGAGAAATTTTACAGACTTGGAAACATTATGCAGGGTCACTATGAGTCAGAACCTACAATATACTTAATAACAATAGCAACAAATCAATTATCACAAAATAAGCAAATGCTATATTAACACAGTTAATAATAAGTATATTGTTTTCTGATTGTGAGTTACTAGTCAATGATGTAACACCTGCAGTGTCTTGCTTAATAAACAAATTGTCTTTTCTTTTCTAGGTTTTGACTAATTATCAAGAAGTTTTAAGAATCAGGGTATATATATAGAAACTATTTATATGGGAGGTAGGAAATATAATATATTTAAATTAGGGTTATAAATGTTTCCTATATGTTAATTAGAACACACTATTAATAACATAGGAATTAATGATTAGTGAAGAAAATCTAAGGCCTATAGATCCCTAATCATGAGTTGCACACACTGGATGTCATCAATCATTTAACTTTGTTATTTAATCTGAACCACCAGAACTGTAATTTTTTTTTTAGTCCATAACCAAAGGAGCATAGGTTTATTCTATAAATGTAACCATCTATAGTCAGGACTAAGATAATTATTATATTGTTTCCAAAAAACTGATTGTGGTTACAAATGGGTATAAAAACCTTGTTTTTGGAAGGAACAATATTATACAAGATACAGTATTTGAGGAAGTTATAAAAAACAAAGTCCTGTTGTGGCACTTTAGGATGAACACTAGACTAGAATGTCGGTTTGAACTGTAAGGTCAGCAGTTCAAATTCAAGAGCCGCTCCTCAGAGACTCTACTTAAGGTCATTGAGCTAGAACTGATTGGTCATTACTTAAAAACAAAAAGATAAAGAACAAACTACTGGTAAGCTAAAGCAACTATTAACTTCACACCAATGTAAAGAGGTTTGTGATTTAGTACATAAGACTATAAAAAGAGGTCATACACAGCCATTGCTCAGGTTGTACATGAAAATCCATTCGTAAATTGTTTAACAAGTCTACCACAGAGGTTACAAGCTAAAGAAATGTGAAGAATTTTAGGAGAATTTGGAGTATATTAAATACTAAATTCATAAGTTAGAAGTAAAATTAGTTTTAACTATGTGCAAGTTATTGCCTCTTGTCCCAAATGTTATAGCTATTCTTATTTCTGTTCATGCTGTTGTTGTTGTTATTATTATTATTATTATTGCTATTCTTATTATGAAAGAATGAGAATAAAGTGTTGCAAAAAATCATGATTGAGGAGATCAGAATATATAGATGTTACAGAGAAGTCAAAAGGGAAGCTGTTTAATAATGCCCATGATGAGTGAAGAAAATATGGGGTATAAAAAATACTTTTTCTAAGATAAAGATTTAGTGGTATAAAGCAACAATGAGATGAAAGACATAAAAATGCATAAAGAATGCTCAGATATTCTGTTGAAACAGTTAATATAAAAGAAAGAAAACTCTAAATTATTAATTTCAGATAATTAAAATAAAAAAATTAATTAGTACTATGAGATATCATAAAATGATTTACTTGATGCTTTGTCTGTCAGGAAGAGGAATGAAAGAAAGCAGGAAAAGTTGGAATCTGAAGTTGTTAATGAGACAATATTACTTTAATATTCAATAGACTACAATAGGAACTTTTAGCAGGAGCATTCTGCTGAACGGAAGGCCATGTCTGTTTATACTAGATAGATAAAAGACTAAAAATACCTTGAGGAATTAAAAAAGATAAGAGAATATAAGCAGATATGGTGTGGATATGTATGAAGTAGGGATTTATGATCATTTTGAAATAACACCGTAAATAAAGTTCCAAATGATTACAATAGTGTGTGGTAGAAAATAATTTTGGCATCATTATGCATATTGTGCTACATTCAGAAAATAGATTATTTTCCACAGTATTGTCTACAACCTCAAAATTAGAATGCAAAATGGAGAAAACATCTAAACGATTTAATTTCACTTATTCAACATCAGTATATTATGCCAAAATTCTTTTCAAAAGCCAACATTATCAATATAAACTATGTTTAAAAATAAATAATGTTAAGTAAAATGAAATATATAAACAAAATAAAATAAATAGATTTGATGGATTTGACTCTGACTCTAGGTAATCCCAGTTTTTAAAGGAGGGTTGGGTTCCTTAGGATTTTCAATGGCTGATTTTTTTAAAGTAGTTAACCAGACCTTTCTAATGAGGTACTTCTGGATAGAACCAAACAAGAATCTTCAGTTAAAACAAACATATTAACTCTTTATATTACTGAAGGAATCCATCTCTATTTATGTCTTCCTATTTTACCATGAGAAAATTAAATATTCACAAGGTAATACGTAGCAATATATATATAAAAAAAAAAACATAGGTATATTATTTATAAATAATCATTATTTTTATTTCACTTTTACAATAGGAAGAAGCATATCATGGAGTCTAATGAAGAAGCTAAATAATTTACCTTCAGATATATTTGGGACATAAATATCAATTAGCTATCTTCTCATAATTTAATTCTTTATGTGTTCAAGGTTTTTCTCTTTCTATACCAGGTATGATTTGTTTATCCCAGAGATGGCCAATTCAACCATGCTGACAGGATTTCTTCTAAAAGGGTTTTCTGATGTATGGGAACTACAGGTTATACATGCCACATCTTTCACTCTGTTATATTTGTTGACTCTCTTTGGAAATTTTGTTATTGTTATTGTCACCACACTGGACAAGAGTCTTCATACCCCCATGTACTTTTTTCTCAGAAATCTCTCCTTCTTGGATGCATGCTACATATCGGTAACAGTCCCTAATTCATGTGTTAACTCTCTACTTGACAACAATACTATTTCAAAGGCAGGATGTGTAGCTCAAGTTTATCTAGTGGTTTTTTTTATATATTTGGAACTGCTGTTTCTCACGTTCATGGCCCGTGACCGTGATGTGGCCATCTGCCAGCCTCTTCACTACCCTATGATTATGAATCCTTGGGTCTGTATGCAGATGACATTGGCTTCCCTCCTCACTGGTCTAGTCTATGCAGCACTGCACACAGGTAACACATTCAGACTGTCGTTTTGTCGTTCCAATGTAATTCATCAGTTTTTCTGTGATATCCCCTCTCTACTGAAGCTCTCCTGTTCTGATACCTTCAGCAATCAGATAACACTCCTTTTGTCTGCTCTACTGGTTGGTGGAGGTTGTTTCATCTTCATCATCAGGTCTTACATTCACATCTTTTCTACTGTTCTCAGATTCCCAAGTGGAGCAGACAGAGCAAAGGCCTTTTCCACCTGCATCCCTCATATCCTTGTGGTGTCAATCTTCCTTAGTTCAATATTCTACTTGTATCTGAGACCATATGAAACCGCTCCAACCATCAAGGATATGGTTCTTTCTGTATTTTATTCCATAATTCCTCCTCTATTGAACCCTATTTTCTATAGTCTTAGAAATGAACAAATAAAATGTGCCATCAGGAAAATCATGAAAAAAAAAATTAAATCATGAAATGCATAGGACACTGCTTAGGTTCCCTTTAATATATTAATTAAAATTCATTAACTTCAGCAATATATTGAGATTTTTTAGATTGGAATTACATAGATCTACTTTTATGTAAATTCAATAAATGATTTTATTAAAAACACTGTTTATCAAAATCATTACTTTCTGAAATGTTTAAATAATTTGATTTAGCAATTGGTTAAGATAACTGGTGTTATGCATAAACAGGTCTATATGTATATGTTTGCATTTAAAAATCTCCCACTAAATATTTGTCTTAAAAAGTGACCCTGTATAGAGTTTCCAAGGAGCAACTGGAGGGTTTAAACCAAGACCCTTCATGTGAGCATTCCTGTGTTTATCCTACAGAATCACAGTAGGAACCTAAAGCTTCCCAGGATGAAACAAACAAACAAACAAAAATCCCCAAGGCTTCATTTTAAATTACATATAATTTTAACAGGTCGACACCTTGGCATAAAATAGTATATACAGCATAGGTAAAACATGAAATGATAAAGACTACCCATCATGGAAGTACGGCTTTGAAATGATAAATTAAGTCATGACCACCAACTGATTAGAAATCATTCCAAATAGGGTCCAAATTATTATAAAATGAATATCATGATATTTGTATCAAACTTATTTCACTACAGGTATAGCCCAATCTGAGGAAGACCCTTACAAAAAGATGCTGGTTTTATTTTATTTTCTTCTATATTTTATTTTGATATAGACTACTTCTCAAGCATGACAATAAAGGCATTTCTGGTAGTGAGAAATACTATGTATCTGAGAAATACTAGGTGTCTCTAATAGGACAAAACATGTGTAACAAACTTCCAAATTAATATACATAATATTTTAAGGGAAATAACCTTTGGGGAGACAACAATTTTAAACAATGGACTAAATTTGTTGATATTGTTAAGTGCCATCGAGTGGATTCTGACTCATACTTACCCTTCATATGGGTTCCTATACTGAATAAATTAAAACATGATAAAGAGCACCAGAATATTGTCAGATAGAATGCAAGAAGATGAGCTCCTAAAGTTAAAAGGCACAAAAGATGTGACAGGAGAAGAACTCCCTCCTTAAATTAGAATTCTTGTGCATGATGGAGTAGATGAATGTTCATAGTAGTGCTCAGAGCTCAGATGTTTGATGGTTCTCAGAGATAAAAGTGTGAATATTATTTCTTTTTTCCCCTGTTCTTTTGACTCTCACTGTCTGTGCACCTCCCCTCTTGTGAATAGAGAGGGTACCTATAGAACCTCCACCCCTAGAGGGTTCTACTACGCATGCACACAGATCTGCCCAGCAAAGATTTCTGGGCCCAGAATTGTAGAAGTGGTAGGAGGTACCAGGAACTGCTTAAAAAGGAATATTCTCTTAGAATAGTCCTAGACAGCCGAGAAAGGGGCATTAAAGTCATATTCATATTTTGCTACACCTTCTTTTTTATTCTTTTTCCTTCTTTTCTTTTATGTGATTATAGACTATAGTACCAAATCTGAATTTCATTTTTGTGTTTTTGTGTGTTTTGCTGTTGTTGTTGTTTTGGTTTTGATCTCCCTTTTAGCTTCAGGAGGCGCTTTCTCTCCCTATATTCCCCAAGAGACAGGAATTGTGGTCATATAGCCAAACTGCAGTCACATCCTGTAAAATCCCACCATCCAGTCATGAACCAATACCAGCTGTTCTACACCAGATAGACAGCCAACACCTGCTATAGTTACTCAGAGATAGTAATAAGAAAAGAGAAAAGATAAGCCTATCTCCTGGTCACATCAAACTGAAGGCAATCAGAAAGCATAATAAAATATCAACGTACATTCATTTAATTACTGAAAACCTAATTATTGAAGATATCAAAGAAACAATTGACCATTTAGGGACATGTCCAGAAACAGGATACAGTAACTGTCATAAATAAGCTATATGCAGACCTAGACTATCCACTGGAAAGAGTGTGTGCCTTGGAACTGCCTGAGAAGGAATTCAGAGGAATGATACTAGAGTGCATCCAAAATCTGCACAGAGAGTTTGAGAAAAATAAGGAAGAAGTCAGGAAAGCTCTACAGGAACAATCAAATAAGATAGGTACAGCATTGGAAACAATTCAAAACCTGCAAAAAAGAGGCCCAAGTGATTAATAATAAAATATCAGAAATGGACATTGCACTGAAAGAGCAAAGAAGTGAAATTGATGACATGGAAGCCAGCATCAGTGAACTGAAAGACAAATTTGTCAATACTGCTAAGATAGAAGAGCAAACAGATAAAAGGATTAAAAAATCTGAAAAAGTCTAAGATTCATGTGGGACAACATGAAAAGGGATAACTTAAGAATTATTGGGATTCTAGAACAGGAAGAATCACAAAAGTCAATAGAGGAGATAATTGAAGAACTGCTGGAAGAAATTTCACTAACATCCTGAAAAATGAAAAGGTAAGCATTCAAGAAGTGGAAGGAACCCCAGGAAGAATAGGAACCAAATGAAAATCATCAAGACATAATCAAGCTCTACAAAATCAAAGACAAAGAGAGAATCCTGAAAGCAGCTAAGGAAAAGAAAAGTGTTATCTCGAAAGACAAGCAAATAAGATTAAGTTCTAATCTCTCAGCAGAAACTATGTAGGCAATAAGGCAATGGGGAGACATATACAAAACCCTGAAAGAAAAAACTGCCAACTAAGACTTCTCTACCCAGAAAAGATGTCAAACTAAAATGATGATGTAATAAAAATATTCCCAGATAAACAGAAGCTAAGGGAATTTGCCAAAGACAATCTAGAACTTCAAAATATCCTAAATGGAGTTCTTTGGACTAGAACCAACAAGAACAGACAACATCCAGAGATTGACATATGTGGCAGCACCACCAGGAACTCAATTGTCACACAGAAGAGTCCAGAATAGAACAAAACTATAAGAAGAAATTCAGAGGATCTGGGAGGTCAGTTTATTATCAAAACAAGCACAGTCTGAAAGAAAGTAAAAACATAGGAACAGTGAACAAGGTGGTGAAAGGAAATGAATATCCAAGAAGAACATAGAAACATTAAAACCATGAAGAAACTGACAAGAAAGAACACAAAAGACCTGAACTCAGCACAGGAAGACATACAAACAAAGAAACCAGCAGCACCACAAAGTAACAACTGTAAAAGAGCAAATAATTCATACCTATCGATAATTATACTGGATGTCAATGGATTAAATTCACCAATTAAAAGATGGAGAGTGGTAGAATAGATAAGAAAACAAGATTCTTCAATAGACTGTCAACAAGAAACTCATCTTATGCACAAAGAAAAGTAGAAGAAAAGTTAAGGGATGGGAAACAATATACCAAGCTAATTGCAATCAAAGGTGAGGAGTAGTGGCAATACTAATCTCTGATAAAATAAACATTAAGGCAAAAACCAGCATAATAGATAAAGCTGGACATTATCTCATCATAGATAAAGCTGGACATTACCAAAGGGTCAATTGAGCAAGATGACATAACCAAAATAAATATCTATGCTCCCAATGAAAGAACTGGAAAATATATAAACTCTAATAGATTTGAAGAAAAAAATAGACAAATCTCCAATAATAGTGGGAGATATTAAAGCTTTTGAAAAACATAAAACAACCAGAAAGTAACTTGACAAAGACACAGAGGAACAAAACAACACAATCAGCCACCTTGACCTCATAATTGTGTACAGAGCATTCAATCCAACAATAGCACAAAAGCTACTGAGTAGGAGAGGAAAATAAAAAGTAAATTTACAAAGTTCCTAGAAGCAAATGAGAACAAAAATACAGCATAGCAAAATCCTTGGCACATGGCAAAAGTGGTGCTAAGAGCACAATTATTGCAATGAGTGCACCCACCCAAAAAGAAGAAAGAACAAAAACCAACACATTAGCACCAAATCTTCAACTAGAAACAGACCAGCTAAGTAAACCTACAGTCAACAGAAAAAAAGAAATCATAAATATTAGAGCAGAAATAGTCAAGATAGAAAGCAGAAAAAAATATTGTAAAGAATCAAAGGACAAGGAGCTGGTTCTTTGAAAAGATTAATAAAATTGACAAACCTTTGGCAAACCTAACAAAAAAAAGAGTGAAAAGACACAAATAACACAGAAAAGAAACCACCTGGGTGATGTCACAACAGAACAAAAAGAATTGAAAAGAATAATAACAGATTATAATGAAGAGTTGTACTCCAACAAATTTGTAAATCTATAGGGGATGGGTACATTTTCAGAGAAGCACGACCTACCTAAGCTTATACAGAGTGAAGTATAAAATTTGAACAGACCTATAGCAAAAGAAGAAATTGACCAGGTCATCAAAAACTCCCAATCAAAAACAATCCTGGTCCAGATGGCTTCACTGGTGAGTTTTGCCAAACTTTCAGGGAAGAGCTGTTACCAATTCTACTCAAATTATTCGAGAATATAGAAGAAGATGGGAAACTTCCTAATACATTTTATGAAGCAAGCATAATCCTTATATCAAAACCAGGGAACGACATCAC